CGTGGTGAATTAAATGCAGCCTTACAGCTGATTAGACTGACGAATGAAAATAACTGGAATGGTTCGCAGTGCTCAATGTTTGTATGAAGACTGAGAATTCAGACGGCGCAAGAGAATACAATTCGGAAGCTCGCTTGATCTGGGTTGTCCTGTATCATTTGTCTACCTTTCCATCGTAATCAAGGTGAAGAGTTTCCCAAGGAGTGTACAGTACTATAATACCACGATAATTGGGTCTCTCAATTTCCCTAATCCAAGGGTTCATAACCAGTGGGGAATCCCCTCCTGGGGGGACTTTAGGGGGCTTAGGGGGAACTGGAATTACTATTCAACTAAATGTGATATTCCGTAGATTACGTAAAATCTGTGAAATTGTAGTTTTATTTAATTAATTCTGCGACGTTCAAAAACGTTCATTGAAGCCACAGATTAAAATCGATTCTTATGGGTGCGCATTATCTTGATTTGCGGAATTAAATTATTATTTAAAGACCAGAAAGTGCACTAAAAATTTTGTTACATAGTGACTAAGAAGTTTTTCTCTCGCAAGAAATATCGCCGTCACTAGCGAAGCGTCAACACCAGCGCCGTGTCTCAACGTTAAATTTTCTATACATGAAGACGTCACACGTTAGTTCCCGCCTCAGCGAAAACCCAACGCACTGACCACTGACACAAGTAAAAAATATAATTGCAATTATATAATTTAAGAGCATTATTGAAATAAACTTTAATAACTTTTCAAAGTCATGCCTCAACTATAGCCAGCGCTAATGTATATGCTGTCGTAATTTTTTCTAATTATTATAGGTCTGCCTTATTACACGAATTCCTCGCCTTCCGCTGGGGCAGTGATATCACATTATACGAACGGATTAGGCAGTAAGTAAGGAAATAAACCACTCTGAAATATTGAAAAATAAAATAGCAATTAATTTATTTCTATTGTATAAATAGTTTTTTTAGTCCCGCCTCAACTATAGATAACGCTGATATAAGGCCGTAAAAGTCTTCGAAACAAATTTAAATTATCAAAAATTTCAATTCTCTGAAAAAAATTTGAAGTAAAGATTTGACAAGAAAGGCTGAAACCACCTATAAAACTAAAAGAAAATTGAGTCAATGGACAAAGTGAATAAATTTAAAGACAGCTTCATTCAGAACTAAGGGTACTACTACACCAACTTGAAATTTCAATAAAATGGGAAGATGCAAAATTTAACATTTCGATCACTGTCTCAGTAACCTGGGAAATTGTCATAATATTAGTAGAAATCCTGTCACAATACTTTGCATCAGAATCAACTAAAGGAACTGATAACTCATCGCTCCTAATTAAATAACGTATTTAACAAGTCTGAAATACTTTAGTATCAGATTAGTGCAGAATTTATTTAGAGTATAGGAAGAGATGGTAAAATGCTAATGAGTTTTAGAACTGAGATATTGATGGAAAAATGTGATATCAGACACATGCAGCAGAAATGACATTTCTCGCGAGACAGCTTACATCACCAGACTCAACAAAGTCCGAAATGAGACAGTTAGAGAAGATACCACTTGCAAGCAGCGACCCGAGCCACAGATCATAACTGCCATAGTTTTATCATGTGCTGAGGATGCCATAGGAGTACTCTCTTAGCAAAGCTACAAGACGGTTCAAGTGCAGACCGGAGAGCAGATGGATTGATTATACAGGAAACCAAGTATTAGAGTCCCTTAGTACTCAGACCGCAAAGTTTGTCCGTTTAGTAGTAGAAATGGACAAATGGGAAAGCTTCCTAAACAAGATGCCTGAAAGGAATAGCAGGCTCTGAAAATGAAAGAATGAATAAATGATACCCAAAAGTTGCAAATAAGTAGAAACTATGACTACCGCAGGACGTAAAGAACTTAAATCACTGAAAAATGTTAATGAACACAGTTAATCACAGACAGATTACATTGCTTGAATGCACTTCACTACAGTGAGAATAAATCGAAAGAGTTCTTTTACGCTCAAAAATCATAAAAAGTTTCATAAACTGACTGAAGCTATAAAGGGGAATAAATGTTTTAGCCTCATTGGTTAATTTTATGAAAAACATCAAAAGATAAGTAAGGTTAAGGTTTATTCGAGGTATCCTACCAGCAGAGTTTGACGCAATTAAAGAAGGTTTCAGCAAAAACGGTAAATCCAAGGAGTGCTGGAAACAGACAGTCCCATCTACAAAATACGGATGAACCATATTAATGGCTATATTAATGGATAACGGTAAGAAAATATGCAGAAAGAACAAAGACACTGTACGCGAATCGTTACCAAATTTGGCGATAGTTTCCTGAAGTATCACTCTGGTAGTGATTCGACGTTTAATCAAAGTGAGGACCGTTCGAAGAAATGAACAACTGTCAGGCGTGGCTTCAAAAACAGCAGGTTCACTGGATAACATGGCCTGATTAGTAGTTTCTGCACAATCAGTGAAAGCTAAAGCAGCAAGTCGTTGAGTCCAATAATACGCTCTTCCGATCCGAGAACATTCGTCCAGGAAATTCGATCTATAAAAAATTAGAACTAGAAAAATTAGAAAATAATAGGAATGATATATAATCTCAGCCTATCACTATTCGGCATAGTAAATATGCAAACTATCTCAGAGGAATGAAATAAAATGTGACAAATGGAGCCACTGCTGATATAATTACTATATAGAAAACAGCATAAACACGATAAATACGGGCGATGTCTATCATAGGCAACAGAATTAGCCGCGATTAAAACAGCCTCAAGAAACGGTACAGTCGAGCAAAATGAATCTCGCGTCAATAAGTATTGAGATTTGGGTGTTTTCCGCCGTTATCAATCCCAAGCCCTGATGAGAAAGCAGGAGAATTGCAGACCGTGAGAAGAAAAATTTAGCCACTTGCCCATCATGGTATTGCAGACATCGAAAACTATACCGCTTGGTTACCCTGGGCCGCGCAGGCTATTGGAGAACTGAGGCTAGCTGAGAAAAGTCGGCGACCCGAAGCAGCTTCCTGCTTTCCGATAGGTGGGAGCGTAGCATTGTAACAACAACGGCTGCCAAAGATCGACGAAACGACGACGAAGCTACCAGTCAGCAACGATGTTGATAACCGTACTGAAAGTATGAGGCAGACAGAGTAGTGCCGTCATAGCAATGAGAAATTGCTCCGCGAGAACGACACTGCTAATGGGAGCTCACAGTCAGAAACTGCAATATATTGCCACTCAGACGGATAGAGCAAGAGTTATCTCAGGAAGTTGATGGGCACCAACTCTACAGAGTTGGAATCTGGTCAACAAAGCCCCAAGGCTCTGAAATTTTGTTCTGCGGGTAAAAAATATTCTATTCAGGTGTCGCGCTCAGAACTGTGTTTGTATTTTGGTAGAATCTAACGTGGATGATAGAATCACTGAATGGAAGCGTTTCAGGAGAAAAGTAACAATCCAATGACTGAAGCTACAATACTCTAAAGCATTATCAATTATTGATACATTATGTTATTCAGCCTCCCGGGTAAAGTCCATGCAAAGGTGCTAGAATGTAGATGGCGCGGAATAACTTACTCCAAGGTAGAAAAGAAGCAGTGTGGCTTCCGGCACTGCCAAAGCATATAAGAGAAGATATTCGCCACGCATTAAACTGAATGACGAAAAATCGTGGAAGTTAACCCATCTGGTGTACACGTGCTTTACTGATCTAAAGAAAGCCTAAAACCGAATCCCGCGCAAAAGTGTGTGGGTATGCCTGAGATACAGGATCGATGACCAGATCAAAGTAAACTGCGTTAAGTCGAAACCATTCAACGTCTGCACTAGTCTCCGCCAAGGCTGCATCCTGTCCCTTATCCTGTTTGTGTTGCACATAGATAGAATAGTCAGGAGCTGCCAAGGCGATGGGTGTATCGGTGTAGGAGATGTAAAGACGAAATGGTTGCTGTTTGCAGACGACCTTGTTGTGTTGGCATATTTTGAAACTGATATACACTGCTCCATAAAAAGGTTCCAGCCGTGTGCAACATGACAGGTATACGTGTGATCTAAAACAAAACTCCACAACTTTCCCGTTCTGCCCGCTGCTCTCTTCAGATTGACGGAAAAATCAGTGGAGCTGGTGTATATGTTCAAGTACTTCGGGGTCGTGTTTACTAGTGATGGAACGTTTGAAGAAGAGATCGACCAGTGGATTGGAGTAGCCAGTGGCGTTCTGCCTGAACTACTCTGAACCACTGTGACTAAAGCAGAGCTTAGTCTGACTACTGAGCTCTCTTTAAGCCGATCTAAATCCTCATGTTAACCAACAGTCATTAGTCATGGACCAGGAATGTAAATCTCTGACGTCGGGTACAAGCGACTCAAATGGACTTTCTTAGACGAGTCGCTGGCCATTATGCTTCGCTATATCGGCTGGGATACAAAAATGATTGAGAGCTTTGATGCACAGCCGGTGCTTCTTCAAACTGAAGAGTCACAACTGTGATGGTCTGGGCATATGTTGCGAGTGCCGACAGGAAGGAAGGCGAAACAGCTACTGCTTGGCCAGCTGACCTTCAGAAGGCCCACTGACTACCAAGGCTAACCTGGTGCCTGCATAGTGAAGGAGTCTGCTGCAGACTCCATTTGTCTTCTGCCGAAGCTCAGAATCTGGCTCAGGATCTGGAACGTTGGGAGCACTGTCTGACACGTCTGCCTCCTCGATACGAAAGGAGAAGCGGTTACGGAAGATAAAGATGACGGGTATTTCAAAGACGAAAACTCAACGCTTAATTCTTATCAGCTCGAACTTAAACAACTCTAAATGATTTGCGCACGTACGAATTCGAGTAAGGTGCAGAATTCAGAATATGCACATCCTTATGATAACGCTTTTTGCAAATGCAGAATTTGTTTTATGCCAACGTGCTAAGAATAAGATATAGACACAAACAACGAGCAACGAAGAAAAACCAAAAAGGAGAAGCGATTTCCTGCCTGTGATGCTTTTTACAGATTTCAGATGCATAAACAGGTGATATACTAATGCACACAAACAATAACAAATCAAAGGGCTCAACAAAAAAGCTAACAATGATCCATACTTGATATGTCGAAGCTTTAACGAAGAGGTAAGACTAGGACAGCATTTTCCACTATCGTCTGGGAAGAGAAACCCTAGCAAAGTTTCCTCTGAAAAAACGTCCCTAAACAAATCGCTATTAAACTTATAGGAAACACCAATGACGCAGACCCCGCTAGAGAAACGGATGAAACAATTTCTGATGAAAGATGAACAGAGCATTTCACGGAGATGATGTCCAAAGTGAGCGAATAGAAGAGTCGTAGAGTAACTACGGCTTGGTCTAAAACAGTAATCTACATAAACTACGACCAACTGGGATACTGCAAGTATAGCTCACCGTTGACATTAACGCGCAGTCTAATAAACAAAGGATGAGTCAAAAACATCTTGTCGGTGACTTCATCTGCTGTTCCACTGGAGCTGTGACGTCTGACGCTATTCTGATCCATTGCAGGAGTGGCAGCATCTACGTCACTGTCTGAATCCATGAGAGCAGGGCATTTAGTTTG